GTTATTAATTACGCATCTAGAGTTGCAGTTTCATGAGTTCTTCCAAAGGTCCTGATTTTCAATCAGTCTGGCTAAGCATAACTACAGAATTGATGTGTACAACAAATCTCAGGCACTTAGCATTCTTCAGTCATATAGTCTTCTGCTTACCTCTTACTAATCCGTCTTCTTGTTTCACGAAGAGATAACATGTTTATTCGCATTTGGCCACATGCTCAAACCACTGCAGTAGTAATCACTGCATGTGAATAAGAAACGGCATACAGCCGAGCGTATCTTCCACTACTTGTTGCTGACTATCTTGACGAGCAATTCTTCAAAAGATCCGTTTTCACTCTTGGAATGCCACCGTGATACGGTAGGAAGACATGTATTTCATTGACGTTAAAAGCAATTCTGAGTAGACTAATCAAAACTTTGCTTTTACGTAATCATACCATGCACAGAAATCAAACCATGGGTATCTCGTTTTTGACTGTACAATACCTAGGTTAATTAGAAATGATCATGGTACAGCATCTTTCGCGTAGGTTGAGAAGAAACGCGTTTGAACCCTAGGCAAGTAGGTTCATTTGGAAAATATAGTTCAGTCACCCTCTTTAGCTGATATGTGGCAACCAACCAAGCTGCCATGTAACCTTATCAATACAGCTATTATCAGTATAGGGTGATGACTGAGAGCAACTGAAAACTGGTAAGCAATTTTATGAGGTTGTACATAGAAAAATAAAGTTACGGAGCTTAAATTTCTCTGGCGGGATTTTATTTTCTAAAATTTGTATCTGTGTCCTCTGAACAAGGAACTCCACGCTGGGCGCTGCAGCAACCTGTTGGGTAACTGCAAAAGCGTAAATGATGATTGAAAAAAATAGATGGCATGATGTTGTGGTTATATGAAAGCTCAGGTAATTTAAAGTCATCCATCTGAGTTTACGGCTATTGATGTAACAGAAGACAATCAGCGCAACATATAAAAAATAATCAGTCATTTCTTTATGGCGAAACTTTTCCATCTGCACACAATCGGTATGAAGCTGAAAAAGCATATGTATCATCGTCGAAACCTACTTGTTTCCTCAAGGTGCCTAGATTTATTTGCATGTATAAAGAATGGTATAATTTTCCTATGCATTACAGAACGGTGACTCTCGTGTGTGTGACTGAGTACTGTCTTAATACGCGTTATGCTTAATATGCGTTGTGAAGTAATTGTAAACTGATGGTGTTAATAAGCTGTCTCATTCTGTTCCCGCTGGCTGTGACTTTGATGCTATTGTCATCTAAGGCTACTAAAAATTGAACCACATACTTGCTAAGATTGGTGGTATGGTTTCTCACATTTATATCAGGCAACTTTTGAGGCTGCTCAAAAGGCGACAAGCAAATCTGTATCTAGGAAGTGCTGTCACGTTCTGTATTCGTCTCTAATGGGCTAGAAATCAGTGGATAGCTCTCACATGAAGAAATTTTTCAACATGTTTCTTTCCTGTTTTTTCCCAATATTTTTAAACTAATGCAAATGGCGTCTCTGATTTGATTTTACAGGTTCTGTGACCACTGGTCGGCAACAGTCTGCGTCTGTTCGTTTATGATACGACGGCTCCACCGCATTCTGAAGATACTCTGCAAACCATTTTTGGAAGCTGTTAAGACTGGCCTTATGGCATTTTTGAACTGAGGATATTTCTACACCAAATTAGCAAGAGAATAGGCTAGCTGCGTTCAAGATGGAATCAGATTATCTCATATTTCATACTTGTTCTTATCCTGCTGCATCGGATAAGAAGCAGGGTACAGTACAAGCATTCCACATGGATCGAATACACGCGGCCTCACTTTTCAGTCCTTTCTGTGTCATGTAAATTCTGACGAAATCTTTCCATCTTATTGGAGATAATCCTGGTGGCCGCCAGTCATCAAACTTTGCGTTCAATGCCAATTTCATAA